AGAGGCCTTGGTGGCGGAGGACCGCCCATCAGCATCTAGGCGCTGCCGTGCAGTCATGACCAATTTGGCCACATCGTCCAGCCAACGTTGGGCTGGAGACTCCGGGTCATGGGCGACGGGCGGGTGACGTAGGAGCGCGCCCGCAGCTTGGAGCGCGCCCTGGGGCGTGCTGCCGTCGCCGTAGACGAGGAGGCGATGCTCCCCATCTCGCCGCCCTTCTCCACCTCCTGTGGATGTCGAAGTCGCGGATCCTTCGGCCCTCTCGAGCGCCTTCTCCCGCCTAGGACTTTGGCGTGGAGGGGGCGGTGGAGTACGAGCTCGACGGCGTGGGTTTGGCTCCCCATCGTCACCGCTCATACTCGGGGAGAGGTCGTGCGCCTTTGCTGGCTCGGCCATTGGGCTGAACAGGAAAAGCTTGGCGCACACGAAAGAGTGCGAGAGCTCAGAAAATCCCTCGCAGAGCCCCCTACCTGGCGCGCCAGATGACGGAGCGTGGGGCTCCTCACCGGGAGACCGCGCAGGCCCCCCTTTGCCGGTTCGGCCGGGGACTCCGGGAGAGATTCTAAGCTCTCTGTATGTGGAAGGCTCGCGAGACAGGAAACACACAAGACACGGGCGATGTATACAGGTTCGGGCCGCTGAGAAGCGTAATACCCTACTCCTGTGTTTTGGGAGATCTGTGTATGAAGGAGCTACAAAGTATCAGCCAGCCTCTCCCTTGTCCTGGGTTTCTAATCTGGAAAAGTCCAGTCCTCCATCTCAGTGGGCAAGGTCCTCCTTTTATATCTTAAGGGGATACCACATGCACCATTTCTCTCTTTTTTGTGGGGACTTACCCCACCTTTTCATAAACAGATGGAGACTTGTATGGTTGCCGTCCGAATGACCTTCTGATGGGACGGCCCATACCTACCTCCACTTCCGCCGGAAGCAGGCGCGACGTGGGAACATGGCTGTCTGCTGACGACATGACCAGTGTCAGACCGGTCACAAATCGGTCATTCTTGTCCACCACGCGTCAGTTTATCCATCTGCATGTTCGCCCTTCTTCATACAATATCTTGCCTGTAATGGTTAGGATGAAGCCTGGCATATATCTGACCAGGACTAACGTGCCATCTCTGGGAGGTAACACGCTAGCTCCAGCTGGGGACGAGTGCCTAGAAGCCCTCGTCCTGACGGGATGGGGCGAGGCGTGTGTCAGATCGCCTGTCGCCACCTAACCCGCGATCTGACCGGTCTGTGACTGGTCACAGACCGGATAAACGAGTGCACTGCACTGCGTTACATGCGGCGTGACACGCTCAGCCAAACCGCAATAAATGTGGTTAGGTGAGCCCCACTGTGCTCACCTAACCCATACACGCGGAGCAAAAACCCACGAGGGGTCGGGGCGCCTCGGCCCTCGGGGCCGAGGGGGGTGCGGCCCGACCCTCTCGGGGGGACTAAGAGGAGGGCGAACGCATCACCCTCGGGCCCGACGCCCCCCGAGGGTGCCAGGCCACGTGGGCGATTGTGTCTGCCTCAAGCCTCTAGTCATGCTACTCCCGGTTCCATGTCACCGACAAAGTATTTTATGAATGCATGTATGATGGTGATTGAATTCATCTACACATATGGAGCTAGTGGCAGTAGCAATTGACGACAGTTACATGACTAATATTTATTATGGATATATGTTTAGTATTCTTTTGGGTGTATGTATGGATAGACTGTAATTATTTTAGACCTTAGACATGGTGATGAATTAGACTAATGGACTACACAGTTATGAATTTGCATGCTAAGTCTATGTATGTTGTTATGAACTTGGTTGTTAGATCTATGCATTAATGCGTATTAAATGGTATTTTGGTGGTGTGTTGATGCTTGTCATGGTTCTCTGATCATTTTACCCATTTTTTTAATGATTGTTTGAATTTTGCACCAAATTCGGTCAAATTTCATCTGAAATTTCCGAGATTCATCCATTTTGGTAGGTCCCGAAATTTTTACGCTATTGAATCCCAGAACCCTGACCTCGGAAGCTTTTACAACAAGATCAATACGCCATTAATATGGAGGAGGACCGAGCAGCATGTGCTCCATAGCATGAAAAGCAACATGTGACCTTGGCTGCTAGTTTTGTTGGTGACAGGAGCATGAGATTTTAACTTCATTTTCATTGGAAGCTGTAGGAGACCAATTTCGTCAACATCAGTGGCGGCAGAGAGGCACACGCTCGACGACATTAGCTCGATCGGGCTACTGCTCCCTCTCCATTTGCTACTGTTTGATCTGATTAGCTTGCTTGCTAGGAGATTGGACGAGCTCAGGAGATGCCTCGATATCGGCAAGGTCAGCAGCTGCTCCACGGCGACGGCAGGTTGACAACGGCTCAGGAGTGTGTAGCAGGAGTGGCGGCGACGCACGATTTATCATGTTTATCACAGCGGACTGCTTGGATAGAGAGATGAGAGATGAGGGAAGTGAGAGAGGTGGGGATAGGGATGGATGGTCGTTGGGAGTGAAGTGGGCTCGGTGGGTGTAGCATCCGATGAATTGTCTCCCGTCGGACGTTTGGTCCAAAGTATTTTCATACTTATGTTATGTAGTTGTATTATGTTGTTTTCTCGTCTATTAGATCGACCCTCTCATAGGGTATATATAGGAGTATATAGGGGATAGAAACTTGGAGTACAATACAAGAGTAGATTTATCTCTAGGATTCTATCTCTAGGATTCTATTATAAATTGTTTTTGACTCTTATATCTAATTAACATATTATACTTCTAACATCCCCCTCAGTCGTAACGGGAGCGAAGCGAACGATTGCGACTGGATTTGAAATCTTCTATTTCTTCATCTTTTTCAAGTCACCATCATCAATTGCATCTCTGATAGACGGTCCTCCACTTGGTGCCTACGTCCCCTTCTGTGTCATCGCTTGACTCTCCCCTATTCCCTCCCGTAGTCATAGCGGGAGTGTCATGGACGATAGCGATGACACGGACGCTTTAACTGGAGTTGTTGTAGACGTTCGTCGATGTAGCCGATCATGTAGTAGCTGCGGTCGTGGTAGTCATGGTAGATGGTGTAGCCACAAATAGCCGAAGGCAAAAAAAAATATTTACGCCATGGTGTGATGACAAAAACTGCAATTTTAGCATCTTGCACCTTGTATATGTCAAAGGATGACATTAGGGACGTCTTGCATATGTCAAAGGACGTCGTTGGCAATGAGGCTACCACTTTTGGTTGATCCTTCTGGGTCGTGTAGCAGTAATCACAATAGTGATGCCGTGTTGATGCAGTCGTTATCATTGTAAATGACGTGATCGATGCCGTCATCGGTGACGCGGTCGTTGCCGTCGTACAGGACGTAATCGATGTTGTCGTCGATGAAGCGTCTTGCAGATTAATCTGTCAGAGGACACGCATGTGTCCATGCTTGTGGACGATACGGCGGCAGCGTGTTGATGAAGACCATTGGTGATGTATTGTCGGTGAAGACAAACATATGGCTGGTGTAGAGGAGGAAGCAGCTGCGGCTTACGTCGTGGCCGTTCGTAGGAACTTGGCGATGATGATCGATGCGGATTGCTTGGTGTCTTGACGCTTGATTTGATGCTTGTTGGACGTGAGAATCTTATTCTCCTGTGCACCATGTGCTTCTCCTCTCAATTGAGTAGATGGATGCAGTAGTAGATGACTCGATGCCGTCTGGTGTTCCCGTCGCTCGGGCTTCACGGCGACTTGGACGGTGGTGCTATTCGCCATGGCCTCGCCTTCTGCTTAATGATTCTAGTGAGCGACGGCTTCTGACGAAATCGTGTTGGCTCCTGGAGATCGTAGGGTTCGACGTGGCTAAAAATAAATTGATCTAATACTAATTATTAGGAAATATATCTAATGAATAGGAGGCTAGCTAGCTAATGCGTTGCCCCAGATAGAGCTTATAGATTCAACTCATCTCCCCGGGGGCAGCTGAAGGATGGATGGATCGTACCGAGGATCGATAGACGCTAGTCTATAGCTCTGATACCATGTAGAAAAATCTAATTGTTGTATTTTGTTGTTTTCTCATATATTAGATCGACCCTCTCATAAGGTATATATAGGAGTACATAGGGGATAGAGACTTGGAGTACGTAAGAGTAGATTTATCTTTAGGATTCTATCTCTAAAACTCTATCTTATCTTTAGGATATATCTTATCTCTATAATTTGTTTTTGACTCTTATCTCTAACTAACATATTATACTTCTAACATGTTAACCCAAAAACAACATTCAACATATTAAGGCATGAAAACATCGATACAACTTTGATGCTCAAAGATTTAACCGAAACCAATTCCTCTCTAGATCTAGTATGACTGGCGCATCTCATCTTGGTCTGACTTCATATAGCATGTCTAGTCGATCCTCCAAGCTGACTACATCCCTCACACTTATAGTTGGACCTACGAAGCTTGGTTTGACCAGGTTTCTCCATAGTAGTCTGATCATACTACTACGAACATTATTTTTGGTGGCGGATAAAATGGATCTCCGTAGCCGGCAGGCCCTGTCGTCGGCCGGCCCCATTGCCTATGATCAAAGGCATATTTTCACAGGCGGGTGACCAACCGTCTAGGGAATTTGATTTCATGCAGGTTTGGACCACATGAGCTTATTGCTATTATTACAAACGGATTTTAATTGATGCACATGTAAAGTAAAATATATGGTGCCTATGAAAATTAGTTTTTATAGTGCCGACAGCCGCTGCACAAACACTGCGTTCTCAAAACCAATTTTTCACAACTATACCTCTCAATATATTCTTAGCGAAATCTTCATCACAACTAGTATATATTAGTGATCACCATGATTTTATAGTGTGGCTCGAAGATCAATATACATGCATGTTGTTTAACCTTACGCTGACCAAGAATTTGCAACGAAGTCAACTGATACACACATAAATAAGACATGCAAAGATGACAAGTTATCATTTTTGTCAAAACAAAATATCGTTCATTCGTTCTGTCAAAGCCAATCTGTGTATTTCTCAGGTAACAACACAAATCAGCCAGAAACAGATTAATTATATATACCTGATCAACATGTTTTCGAACGAAATATAATTAAACGAAAATTATTTTTCTCTGGGCCTCAACTACATGCAGCCAGCTTAGCCGCATTGCAGCATGCTTTGCCATATCTCTTCCAATTAACGCAAGGAATGAAGCGAGCATGCATGTCGATCTGTCACCTTATTAGCCGAAGCCCATGACCTTGGGCGCCAACCGGAGCAGCGGCTGCAGCGTCTCCGGCGGGAACTTGCGCGCGAACAGGTTGCAGATCCCGCCGCTGCTGGCGCCGTTGTACGAGCACCGCTTGTCCGCCCTGATGCCGCCGATGACCTTCTCCGTCACTTCCTCCGCCGTGTACGTGTGCGGGTGCCGGTTCACCGGCCGCGACCAGTCGGCGTAGGTCAGCGTCCGGTTGGCGTTGCGGCGGCCCCAGCCCAGCATGGTGACCAGGGTCGCGAGGTAGTGCTCGTCGATGAGGCACTCGCGGCGCCCGACGCAGAAGTCGCGGAACGCCGGGAAGCAGAGCTCGTCGTCGGCGGCGACCTCCAGCGCCAGCGCGCGGTCCATCTCGAACCACTGCGCGCCCTTGCGCCACCGGGCGAGGGTGATGTTGCGGCCGGCGAAGAACTCCCTGTACCGCGACCGGCTGCCGCCGTTCTCGAAGCTGTCGACGAAGCTGGTGTTGGCGCCGGTGAGGTAGGCGTGCACGGTGGCGAAGTCGTACACCGGGATGCACGCCTCCGACAGCAGCACGAACCGCGAGTTGCCGGCGTCCAGCAGCGCGTTCGCCACCAGCCGCCGCTCCGCCTCCACCAGCGACGCGTCCCCCCACTTGGCCGCCTTGCTCGGGACGTACCGGCCGTGGAACACGGACTCCGGCGAGCCGGTGAAGCTGTACGACGGGTGGGCGTGAACGTAGATGGAGTAGTGATCGGTTCGCTGCCCCTCGAAGAACTTCTCCCACAGGGGCCTCAGCGGCAGCTCCCCTCTCACGAGGAACATGAACGCCACCTTCTTCGGCACCACGCCGTCCGGCAGCCGCCGCCGGCTTTTCGGCGCCATGGACGCTCTCCAGAACAGCTCCTCATCTCCCATGCTGTGCATCGGTGCAGGTTGCTGCGGCGGTGGCGGTGGCGGCGGCGGCGGTGGCGAGGGCGGCGACGGAGAAGTAGAAGTAGACGATAGCACTAGCCGCAATGGCGCCATGGATGATGGCATGAGAGAGGAGGGGTAGAAGGATTTGAGGAACATGGCGTTGGAGGAGGTGAGGCCGAGGACGAAGCCCAAGGAGACGAGGAGAAGCACGACCGCGATATTGCTGCCCACTTTCCCGCCAAAGCGAGACGACGACGACGCCCGCGTCGGCAGCAGCTGCTTGCTCGTGTCCTTCTCCTTCATGGTTAGTAGCTGCCAAGCTATAGCTAGGGCTATAGTGCTGCAACGTAGTAGCTACCTCCCTTATCTACTGAGCTAGCTGCATGCATGGATACCTCGTTGTCATCTCGTCGAGAGAGCTAGCAACAGCGAACACAGGCAGTACGAATACTACATCTACATGTACTGCTCAAGTTGATTGCTTCCGATATCTGCAAATTAACATGCGCTAGCTAGCTGACTAAGGTGAGAGGTTGCTTGTTACTGCAAAAGTGGCTACTAGAACGTCGTATTCTCTATTTCAACGACGTAGGTGTATTCAATCGAGTCGTACGTAGCTGGCTAGCTAGTTTCAACTTTCATATCCTTCGCTTCTGCTGCCAATTAACGAGTAACGACTTACCATTGTCCATTGCGAAAACAAGACTTCCGCATCTGGCCATTTATTTCTTGCCCTCGGTCAAAAAATAACGGGAAAACTATACACCGGGATCCCGTCCCCATGCATCAGGACGATACCCCTTGCGTCCCAGTTCGCTCCGTTCCGCTGCTCTTCCTTCTCATGCCCTCGCTCCACGCACCCCTATACGCTCGTCTTGGTCTTATCCTGCTCTCTGCTCGATTGTGGAGGTGTGGGGGATCGATGGTGGCACTAGTACATAAATCATTATAGGTGCTGGTTTTCGGCCGACATCTATTGGTCGGCATTAATACTCATAGATATAGGTGCCGGTTTTAGAACCAGCACCTATAGAGAATATAGGTGCCGGTTCTTCACCCACAACCAGCACCTATAGTATTTTCTTTTTAAAAATCGCCGATGGAGCCGATCCGGCGACTGCGCCGCCACCTCACCGCGCCGGCCTACGCGCTGTGCCGGCCGCCACCCCACGCCGCGCTGGGGGCATAGTAAAAAAAAAAAAAGGGGGCCGGACTAGCGGTTGAACTGGAAAAAAACCGGAACTGGCACAACCTTGGCGGCTCGGTTTAGCAAAAAGACCGTCCCTGCAATCGAACCGGTCAAAAACGCTGAACCAGACAGTTTCATGGGAACCAGTGAACCAGTGGCGGTTTTTAAGAAATGAACCGGTTTTTAATTTGTTCTATGACTATGAATTTATTATGTTACCACACTACATTTATTTTATTTTTATGTTGTGGCCATATAATAAAAGATATACTTGTTTGTTTATGCATATTTTCACCAATTTGTGATGGTTCTATATTTAAAATAAGGCAAATCAAATATAATATAAATAAATAAAATCCGGCAGTTCGACCGGTGAACCGACGGCCAGAGCGGGTCAACCTCTGGCCTGGTTTTTTGTACTATGCTCGCAAGCCTCCACCACCACCGTCGCCGCCGCCACCACCTCGCCGCACCAGCCTCTGCGTCGGCCACCACCTCGCCCGCAGTCTTCTCCACCGCCGCCATCTCTGGATCTGTAGGAGAAGGGGGAGGGTCGCCGAGAGGGAGGGGGCCAACGAGCCTCCTCCACCACCACCACGGCCCCCTCTGCTGCGATCTCACCGGCCTCCACGTCAGCTGCCACCACCCAGGGGCGGCCGCTACCTCTCCACTTCCTGCCAAGTTGGAGGAGAGAAGGGGGTAGGGCTCCTGGGCCGGGAGAGGGCCACCGCCGCTGCTCTGCCAGATAGGAAGGCAAAGGGAGAGGAGAGGAGCGAGAGAGAGATGTTAGAGGAGGGGGATGGATGGCGAGATATAATATATGGATAAGTATGGGCAGGTAGCTGGATAAGTCGGCCAGCTTGTCTGCCTCTGACCTCTGTATAGGTGTCGGTTTTATAAAACCGGTACCTATAATAAACTATAGGTACCTTTTTTTTAAATCGGCACCTACAATTTATTAGGTACTTTTTTAAAAAAAAACTGTTACTAATATTATAGGTGCTGGTTTTTATCTAGAACCGACACCTATAATATAAATATAGGTACCATATTTTATCTATATTTTTCAGTCTATAGAGGTGGAAAACGGTAATAGATGTCGGTTTTAAATAAACCGATACCTTTTTGCCGATACCTAGCTATGAGGTGTTTTGTAGTAGTGTCGGTGAATAAAAGGGGAGGTTGCTCTGTGTCGGCGTTGTCTATGGTGGGCCCTCCACCGAGAGAGGATGGGAACCGCCAGTGGTACGGTGGTTCCAAAAAAAAATCATGGGTGGTCTTATTCCACACTACAAAATTTCAAAATACCAAAAACTCAATTTACATAGCAAAATTTTCTCAAAGAACGTACTAACGTTTTAGTTTAAAAATAAAAAAACAATATAAATAGTCTAACTGGTCATGTCTATAGAGTAGATTTGGGTCGAATTTGGATAGAAGGGTCATTCTGAGCCAAAATTGAGGGTGGTCCAGTTATTACCTGGACCACCCCCTCGAACCGCCGCCGGGAAGCGCCGCCATGCTGATGGAGGATGGGGTGTGCCGTTGCACAGGTAACCATCTCTATCCCTTAATTCTTCTCTCACTCCTCTTAGCTCAGATCTGATATCCAATAAGTTTCGACTGATATTGATGTGTACTGGCGCGATATTGTTAGGTAATGACCGAGACCAACGAGGTATCAGTTTTGTACTTGACATGTATTAATGCCCGGTACCTATGGGGTACCAGATATTGTGCAGATAATCTGATACCAAATTTGCATCGTCTTGTACGAACAGGATCCCGTGGTATACCAGGCACCAAAGATAATTGTTACTGTAGTTTTGACTTTAATTGTCTTGCTTTGACCAATAAGATCCTTTGCATAATCTCCCCTGATCCTAAAATATAAGGATCATAGGATTGTTCTAAATTTAACTTATCAAAGTTTGATAAAGTTTTTTAACAAGAGTATTAACATTTACTACATCAAATAAGTAACCTATGATTTTTTAATAATGGATCTAATTATGCTTATTTGATATTGTAAGTATGTTATTATTTTCTATAAATTTGGTGAAATTTATTTTTGACTTGGGACAAGTATGATCTCATATATTTTGAGACCAAGGGACATTTAACATCAAATTTGTACCATTAGATTTGTAATCAAAAGTGTTTTACCAACATGTACAAAACACTTAAAACCTATTTGCTTTAAACTGGCAATTATTCATAAGCAGAGACAGCAATTTCTTATTTGTTTATCATTTATCTAGGGTCGTCTCCATATGGTCGTCAATGATATTGTTTAATCGCTGTATTTTTCTAATTAACCACGTGTGAAAATATATATTTTCAGTCTAGTGAAAATATGTCTAATTTTGTTGACGGTTTCGTAACAAACCACATGTGAAAAATCATTTTTCGTCCTTAAAAATGGGTGCAACTCTATTTAAATAAAAAATTCAAGATTGGAACAAAAAATCATAATTTTTGCTTTATATAGTTATACATACTGCTTTTTGTAACAATGACTCACAAATTTGCCATATTTTAGAGACACATTTAGATAAGCAAGAAAAATCTGAATAATAGACAAATGCTCAGATCTTAAAGTCATTGATTATCAAGGATTGGACCAGGTTTATATAAAACATGCATGCATGTTATATATCCTGCTAGTGTCTTGTAGGACAAGAAAGCAAACGTAGAAGTGACACAACGTACTGAGAGGTGTAGACACATGCATGCAGTAAACGAGGACGAAACATATCTTCTCTCGGTTTCTATAGTCCAGAGTCAACATATTAGATGGAGTATCATGATTGCAAATCATATCCCTGTATGAAGTATACCAAGCCTAGAGCGAAACGTTGACTGCACATCCAGTGGGCGTAGCTATCCTTAATCCTTTACGTAACTGTGCAATTAATCTTGAGTTAAGAGCTAAGATATATATCATGTTTTGACTCCATATTTACAATGCTACAGCAGAAAACTTGTGTGGAGCGCCATACATTTTATCTAGAGACAATCATCAAACTCAATAAGAATTAGAGATGCTAGAGACGCTTTGTGACACCACCTTGCCTCAAGAATTAATTTTCTATGTATACATAATGAGAAAAGATACATTTTACTATAGTGTAGACTTTGAGGTTTTAGCTACTCGATAGGGAAAAACTCCTGTTTTGGAACAAAGCACCCTTAGTAGCCCACAGCAGCCGGATATGGCACTTCCTTGGCCTATAGCCGTAAGATCTAGTGCTCCCTCAAGGCCCGGCCGGTGGCATAGTTGCCTACCGAGCCGGCTGCGAAAACGCACAAACGCACACTCTACCTCTATAAGCACCTTCAAAAGATTGGCCGGCATATTCTGAAATTGACGGAGTCATCACGAGCGTAACACGTCATCTATCACCGAAAGAATAATTAGCCGTAAATGTGAACACCTGTGTCAAATCTAGAATTTCAACCTAGGTGAGTTATTCCACGGGAAGGAACATTTCAGTCATGCATATGAAAATTTTTGTACTTCCTTGCGTAGTTGTGCATACCCATGGGTGCCAACACTACTACAAAACCCTTAATAGGTGTTAGCAAAACCGACACCTATAAACCATTTACCACCCTCACGGGAAAAGGCTCATAGGAAACCTTCGGCAACTATAGGTGCAAGTTCTATAGTAAAAATCAATACCAATATCATAGGTGTCAGTTTTTTAATTAACCGGCACTAAAAAACCGAGCCAATAATTTTTCATTGTAAAATAGGAATTAGATAGGGAGATCCTTTGTCTCTAGTGCTCATGTCCTTGGAGCAGAATTGCTACAGGCCATAATCAACAAGGCAAATCTTCTTGGACTTCTGTCTAAACCTATCCCTATTGAAAGTGACCCAAATTTTCAGTTGTTTAACATGCCGATGACATCCTTCTGTATGTCAAAGCTTGTGGAAGATAATTGTGGAAGAGAATTGTTCACCTTGGAGGCTCTACTTTAGACTTTTGCACAAGGGACACGTCTCACGGTAAATTATCATAAATGTCTGACACTAATAAATGTTGATGAAGAGAAAGCACAAATGTTGGCAGGTGTCTTTGGTTGTTAGATTGGTACACTACCTTTCACATACCTTAGCTTACCCCTTGGAACTACTAAGACTAGAGTGGTTGATTTTGCTCCCATTGTTGATAGAATCGAGAGAAGACTATATGCTAATTCAGCTCTTTCATCCTATGGTGATAGACTCGCTTTGGTTAATTGAGATCATTTCTTCCTTGCCAACCTATTACATGTGCACTTTTGTCACGCCCGGAAATTCACTAGTAATTTTCGAACTAATTTGTGCATAAAATCCTCGTCCAGG